GTCTCATCTAACCAAGGGAGATAACTTCAAAATGGCTACACGCGCCCCCTTTATTGTTCCGGCGCTGAAGAAGCACACCGCGACGGTGATCATGGCCCACGGATTGGGCGACAGGTTGGTCCCTAGCATACGGCGCTCTAAATGAGTTACAACTTGCTAACGTTTTTTGTCAACAGTGGTGCTGGATGGTACGTAAATCGAGACTATGATGTTCCACAAATGACGGACGCTACTCCTGCGAAACGAGAGTTGAAATAACTGAATCGAAATAGGATGGCCCTCGCCCAGAACTGGCGCCGCCGCGGCATGTTCGATGAAGTCGCCTTCATCTTCCCGAATGCCCCTATGATCCCTATCACAGTGGTATGCGATGGCTGTCACCTACGGAGCTCTGGGAATAGTGGACTGAGTTGACGGGTAATAGAACTTTGGAATGTCCATGCCGGGATGGTACGACATCTCCAAGCTGGGTCGTGATGTGAGTGGTGCATCCACATCTATAATCCCGGGGTAAAGAGATTAATGGCTGTATAGTTGGATTTCGAAGAAGCCATCCGCCACCAGGACGAGCCGGGCGTCCTCCGTTCCCGTGAATACTTCAACTCCCTCATCAAGGAGCAGATTGACAAGGGCATCAAGCCCTCCCGCATTGTCCTCGGAGGCTTCTCGCAAGGTGGAGCGATGTCCTTGTTTGCGGGTCTCACAAGCACGGAGAAGCTTGGTGGTGTCTTTGGTCTTTCTTGCTACTTGTTGCTGCATGACCGGATCAAGAACTTCATCCCCGAAAACTGGCCGAACAAGCAGACGCCCTTCTTCATCGCACACGGCGAGGAGGACGAGGTGGTCAAGTTTGATTTCGGTAAGCAGTCGGCGAAGATGGTTAAGGAGTTGGGCGTCGAGGATGTCGAATTCCATTCTTACTCGTGAGTGTTCCATTCGCTTTCATTTTTGCTGAAATGGCTTGCTTATACTTGGGTAGCGATCTCGGCCACTCTGCCGATCCCGAGGAGATCGAAGATTTGACAAGGTTCCTTCAGAAGGCTATTCCTCCGGAGGAGGGTCAGTCGGCCGCCGGATTATGACTTGGTGACGCCAGATCCGTGCCTGCTGCACCTTCTATAGGTGCTAGAATCACATACAGCATTTTTCTTGGCATCGTTATATGGAGAATTGCGGTTATGCTGTTGGGGATCATCTCGGGAAAGAAACGGGATGCGCCGACAAAGCAGGATTGAACATACAATTGGCTTGAATACATAATAGATCAAGATGCACGAAATGACGAAATCTAGTAACCATCTATTCATCGCTCGTAGTTGACTATTCCACCCACACTTATTCTCCCCTCAAAGCCTTCCGAACCGTAGCCTCAATAGCAGCCACCATGGCATTAGTATTCTCCACATCAAACGGCACCATATGCTTTGAGCCGTGATCATGGAAACTCATTTTACTCGGCTCACACAGCCTGGACAAATGCATGCTAGAGGGATACAGCTCATCCTGCTTTCCCACAATATTTGCCGTGGGGATCTTGACGGGATACTCGCCCTCAGCCGAAGTGTCAGGGATGACTTCATTCCCCGTGCTGTCAAACGGCGCAGCACCGCAGATAAACACGGCGACCTTGAACAGAGGCTCTTGATGCGTCTTCGCATGGTGTACAATCATGGCGCATGCCAGGGCAGCACCTTGCGAGAATCCCATGACGGCGTCGAAAGGACCCTCACGCTCGATGATATCGTAGACGTGCTTCATTGCGGGGGCGAGGTATTCGCCCGGTGCGCAGTCACGAGGATAATGGTTGTAAAAGGGGCCATTAAAGAGGCCCTTTAGCTCTATTCAAGGTGTTAGCTAGCCATCACATGTCTCCAAATATACTCCGAATCTTTAGATGTGGAGGGCGGGGTGATGTACGAGGCTCAACTTCGGCTTCCATGCAGCCATCGTAGTATTTAAACGTATGGCCATATTTAGCGAGGTCGTAGGAGATTCCACCTGATTGCGATACAAGTTAGATTGGCAATCATGGCCTGGCGAATTGGACTGGTTGTTCAAGTACCGGATTGGATCTCGAAGATCTATTGTTTTTGTTCCAACGGTTAGATTTGGATGGCGGGGAAGCGGAGATAAACCAAAGAAAGAGATGCCCGCCAGCAGGGAAGATGCTTGCTTACTTCGGCGTTGGTACCTGCGCCGTGGAGACAAAGGAAGCGCATTTTGGATGGTTGTCTTGTGAAGATGTTCTTTTTGTGTCACTTCTTTCTGAACAGATGTGTTCCTGGACAACAATTGCTGACAAGAGAAGAAGATGAGGAAATGTGTTGAATACTAAACTAGACTACGCCTTCCGACCGTCAGCTGAAGCACTGGCCTGCCACTATGCCACTAACGTAAGACAAACTCTCAGCCTTCTCCATCAACTCCTGGACTATCTCATCTGTCTCTGCTTTTCTTCAGTCGTCATCCCGTCTAATCTAGACTATGCATCCTTCTCGGCTATTTACAAGACAATTGCTCGTCCTACCCCCTACATGCAACATGTGAGATGTCCCAGTTCACGGAGTTTCCATTCATCGAAATGATCTCCGGCACCGAGGGCGGCGCCCGTCGTGCCCCCTTCGAAACTGGTCTTGCTATCCTCTCCCCACTGTGACTTGAGTGGTTCTGCGCCTCTACAGTCTACGTGGTTTTAATAGCATTACTGCTGCTCGCAATCAATGGCATCTGTCGTCAATTTCCTCTCAAATGTGCTCTCCCGCCCCGTGGAGTCCTACTGCAGCTTTGGTCCGACGGTGAGTGAAATCACCTTTGGACTGCTGGGGTACTCCTTCAATCCGGAGCGCGACATCAACGATCTATCAGGGAAGGTTGTTTTCGTCACTGGAGGTATGTCTTCTGCTACACACCTTGGGCTGTCTTTCTCAGTGCGCTAATTTCTGCTTGTCTCAGGCAATGCCGGTCTAGGGAAAGAAACCGTCCTCCAACTCGCTCGTCACCGCCCATCGCGCATCTACCTCGCTGCGCGGAATGCGACCAAAGCCGAAGACGCCATCGCTTCAATCCGGGAGCAGGTGCCATCCGCCGATATCAGACACATAGCCCTCGACCTGTCCTCCTTCAAGTCGATCCGCGCCGCTGCCGAGCAGTTCGCGTCAGAATGCGATCGCCTGGACCTTCTGGTTCTCAACGCCGGAATCATGAACTGCCCGCCCGCTGTGACAGAGGAAGGATTCGAGATTCAATTCGGAACAAATCATATCGGACATTTCCTACTCACCCAGCTACTACTGCCCACGCTGCAACGAACGGTTGAACTTTCCAGGGATGTCCGGGTAGTAACATTGGCCTCTGCCGCGAATGTCGCCGCGCCTCCCTACGATGTCATGACCTCTACGCCGGCTTTGTTAGCCGACCATACATTGACCCGGTACAGTGCCTCGAAGGCAGCGAATATCCTCTTTGCGTCAGAGCTGGCTCGTCGCCATCCGGAGATTCTGTCTATCGTGGTACATCCCGGCTCCGTCGTGAGCGACCTATGGGACCATACGATTAAGACCGGTGTCGTAGCCAAGTACACTATCGGTGCCATTCTTGCGTTCAGTCGGAGCATACGGAGCGGAGCACTCAATCAGCTCTGGGCCGCAGGGGCGAGAAGAGAACTGTTGACCAACGGGGCTTATTATGTCCCCGTTGGGGTGCACGCCACGGGCAACCGGTATGCGAAGGACGTCAACATGGCACGGCGACTGTGGGAGTGGACTGAGCAGCAGATTGCAGAGAAATCGTAAACTTGTCCGGTTCCAATGATGGCTTGGTTCATCCCCGCGGGCATCTCCTGTAGTTAGAGATGTTTGACGGATATTCTTTACAGGATATGCGTGACCATGCTTTGGAGACAGCAGTGGTTGTTATATTTATATTAGGTTCTTGATACCTATGGAATAACATGATGTGATACACGACTGTTCTTCAGGGTCCGGATCGCGGGGTTGAAGACGGGTAGACTCGCAGATTACCGGATTCGGTATGAGATGCCGGAAAGCGGGTGGTGAGCGTCAATCCGGGCGAAAGCCATTGGTGGCACAATCTTGTCCCAAGGTGCCAAACAACCTCGCAAGAAAAAGGGACCAACCTGCTGCCCATGGAAAGGAAAAAGGAAAACCCCAATCCAATGTCCCTGCCAATTCCACAATACCTTAATGACATCTGAAATGTTGCTGATCTCCCCCCATCGATGCCAGTCTAGACAGTCAGCAGCGGCTGCGATCGTTAGGGTTTAGCCGAGGAGCCTCCCTGTCCAGATTCCTCGTTTCGCCCACAACCAACTTCATCCAGCACGGCCACGAAGGGCCTTTCCCATTGAAAATTGTAGTCCCATAGCCAAAAATGCACACATAATATAATCATATCATAAAGAACAATATCTTAAATTCTACTTAACGAGCTACACTGCGTAGAGAATATTATCAATGTCGTAGAAGTACTGAGAACGTAAAAGTCGGCTTTTGCATGCTCTGCTCCCCACACAAACCCGTGCGAAGCGCATCATCGAACTTGAACTATCCTCATCCTCATCCTCCCACTTCACCTCCCTCCTCTTCTTCTCTCTCCAGCACCAAATACTCCTCTCCCCCCCCCCCTCATCTCCTTTAGGTACGTATAATAATCCCCCGTTATTCCTCCCTCTAGAACCCGTTTTTTTCCCTCTGGACATTTCGAAAATACTTTGTCGCTCTTCTCCCACTCAACGACGAGTCATCCCGCGAATCTTCTGTCCCGAATTTATTCGTTCCCAATTCCAATTCGATCCGGTCGCGCGAATTCGACGCTCAAAACGCTCCGCTCCCCTCTTCTTTACGCGAGAATGACTCTGCACAATTTCCACAATACACATATCATACACTCAAAAATTAGGAAGATCGATATCTGACGTCTTGGGATTTTTTTATTCCTCTTTTACAGGTTGAAAGCACTCAAGCTTCAATACTCCCGTCAAAATGGATCAGGCAAAGTTGGCTAGAATGCAGCAGAGCGTGCGGATTGGTATGTACCACTTCTTTTCTCTTTAGTTTCTTTTGTATATTTTGTTATTGCTCCGTTCGCATCCAATTTATAATCAATAAACATGGGAGGGATTATTGGTGGGGGGCAAGAGCGAGAGAGCTTTTTGGGGTGGTATTATGGGATCCCGATCCAATTCGATTCTGCAAGGAACGAAAGAGGAAAGAAGAGGAGGAGCAGAGAGGACTCGCTCGGAAGCTCAGGATCATGTCGGATTGATCGATGTTGTTGCGTGTTATTATTGTTTTTATACAAAGTTATCGTGAGGAACAGCTAAAGCTAACATAACCTTTCTCACTCTGACAGGGTACGTATAATGACACACACACATTCGCATCCCACGAGAAACACACACATCACCACCCCCCAAACCCGACCCAATCTACGAACCAGAATGCACGCAACGAAACTAACAACACAACAGAGGCAAGGGTACTCCCCGCCGCAAGGTCAAGAAGGTCCACAAGTCCTCCGGTGCCGACGACAAGAAGCTCCAGGCCACCCTGAAGAAGATGAACGTCCAGCCCATCCAGGCCATCGAGGAGGTTAACATGTTCAAGGAGGACGGAAACGTCATCCACTTTGGTGCTCCTAAGGGTATATCCCCCCCAACCTATCCACCCAAAAAGACAGCAGAATACTGAAATATTTCTTGATGGTATATAGTCCACGCCTCCGTCCCCTCCAACACCTTCGCCCTCTACGGCAACGGCGAGGAGAAGGAACTCACCGAGCTCGTCCCCGGTATCCTGAACCAGCTTGGCCCCGACAGCCTTGCTTCCCTCCGCAAGCTCGCCGAGAGCTACCAGAACATGCAGAAGAACCAGGCCGGCGCTGACGGCAAGAAGGACGATGAGGAGGATGATATCCCCGATCTCGTTGAGGGCGAGAACTTCGAGAGCAACGTCGAGTAAATTTAGTAAAAATTTATTTTTATCTCCCTTTTAACAACCATCAGCTTGAATTTTATTTGAGAGGAATTGATATCATCTTCGTTGCCACTTGACAACCTTTTTTTCCCCTTATTCGTTGTACGGACGGACCACTGTCGGTATATTATTCCGTTTACTGGATTGGATGGATCCAACATTCAAAAGAAGGAGAATGAGGCTTGTGTGTGCTGCTCTTTTTTTGCCCTGTGGGTGTGCGCGCTGAGCAGATTCGTTTTTCTCTTCTTTTTCTTGCTTATGGTATTCAATATCCTTTTGGAGCTTGGAGCCGGAGCTGGAGCTGGGGCTTGAGCTTAGGATTGTTTGTCGGAAAGGAAGAGGTTAGTCGGCTTTTCTTATAATGAAAGCAATGATTATGCTTTTCTCCATTTCTGGGGATATAAAGATGAGAGGGTTTTAAGGAGGCCGTAACTTCCATGGTTCTTGTTGGGTCTGTGGAAGATAGTATTACTATGCCATTTAGATGACTGGTCATGAAATTAGTTGGGGGGTTTTTGTAATGCAGAGATACATAGGCCATGACCGAAGTATCTATCAGTATTGATTGGACATCGTATCAATCGACGTAATACTTTATGATACTAGGCTCATGACCTCGACATCTACTAGTAATCACACCTTCTATCATAATGGTAATGATATCAAACACACTCGCTTTTCATATAGTAAATATTTTAAAACACACCTCGCTGAACAAACAACAAAATCAATGGGTATTGGTATACATGAAAGCATCATAAGATAAAAAGAAGCCAAGAACAATCACAGACAGACAGCAAGCAACAGCAAAGACCTGAAGTAAAGCTCATCTACTCTCCACCTGATTCATCGACGACCTCTTAGGAACAAACGGCGCCGAAGTCGGCTTCGACTTCCTCCTCTCATCCTTAACACGCAGCCCCCGACTCAGTCCACCCCCGAGACCCCGCGCAAGAGACGCAAACGGCGATGCAGCCTGCCAGTTATCCAGATCCTCTTCGTGCTGGCCGACACTAGCCACGATTTCACTGCCGTGTTTCGAGGATCCGGATCCATCGGAGGGCTTGGCGCGGTGTCGGTGGAGGGAGGTGTCGCTGCCGTGGGTGCTCGGGGAGGTCGGGTTAAGTTTCCACGGGTTCGTGGGGATGTCTGGGTCGATGTAGTCGGCGCATTTGCAGCCACAGCCGGTAGGGCAGAAGTGGTATTCTTCCTGGTCGGTGTCGGGTGCCATGGAGAACCAGCCTCGATGGCAGTCGAAGCAGCTGACGTGACCGCAGCCGAGACAGGGGATGAGCATGCCTTCGACGACTTCGCTGCAGATGACGCAGGGGAGTCGGAGAGGGAGGGGCTGTTTTGGTTTGCAGTGGGGGCAGGTGAGGGGAGGGGGTGTTATGCCCTTTATGTGGCTCTTGGGGATTGCTTCGGTGAGTGCTTTGGTTGCGAAGATGGAGTGCTGTAGGGCTTGGCCGCAGCTGATGCAGTGGCGTTGGATTTCGAGACCTTGGTTTTCGGTATCGGTGGGCGCGGCTGTTGAGCTGCGGCGCTTGGAGCTGGGGAGGGAGAATGAATCGTGGTGGCTTCTGTGGCGACGATGTGTTGGCTCCTTGGTGAGATTGGGGGTCCCGCCGATCTTTAGTACTTCGCTACGTTGCACTGGGAGTCCCCATATAGAGAGCAGATGAGCGTATGCTGCGCGGTACGATCGGTATAGCCATTCTTTCTTGGGGTCGAGGAAAGTACTCTGCGATTGTCCGTTGCCCTCGAAAGCAGCTTGGTTCTTTAGGACTGCGCGAACCTTTGTCGACGGTTTGGCGGGAGTAGGTCGCTCGCTCTCCGTGTCAGAGTGGGTTTGTGACGTGAGCGCGGTGGAGGTAGTTAGGTAGTCGGGAATGGCTGAGACTGGTTTCGCAGTAAAGGCACTCGTCACCCAAACCCCTGGCCCTCCGACTGTGTTGGGGCTGCCATTGGGGTTGAAAACCTTCCGGGACAAGGCGGTTGCTGGAGGAGATGCTGACGAAGGACCAAATGTGAGAGAGCGGGAAAGAGACGAGGCCAGAACAGAACCAATGCCGGAGCCGCTGCGTGGTTGGGATTGCTGGTCAGGTGAAGCAGCGATTGCTATGTTCTGGGTCCATGTCTTTCGGTCTGCTGCTAGGGGGCCGGCTCGAGTGGCTAGAGGAGGGGTTGTTCCTGTGGAATATGGCGGCGTGGAATCGGGACGCCAGTTCTCAGATGAAGAACGCCCAGAACTATGGGTAATGGGCGTTGCGTGGCTGTCCTTCGGTGTTGAAGCAAGCGGCACGGCCGTCTGCGGTTTGCTCTGCGTAACGGAGTTGGGGGAATACAAATCAAATGAAAATGCATGCTCCTCCATCCGCCTGGAAACGGCCCGACTGACATGAGCGTGTTCTTTGGAGGCCTCGTCAATGTTGGCCTCGTGCAAAACACAAGATAGCATCGCGATCATTTGCACGTCGCCGATCTGTTCAAAATGCTCGAAGAGAGCAGGGATTAGCCACTGACCACCGAATGGATGGTCGCCCCATTGAATGACGGTATTCATAAATCCTTTGTGACGTTGGTCCTGGCTTCCCATGTCGTTACTCAGATCCACAGCGCTATCCTTCCTTTGAATATACGGTCTATCCAGGGTGTCAAAACCGGATGAAAACATGGAGCTCTTGCAGTTGTGCAAGATAAGCCTGATAAGTCCCCAAATCCGAGACAGCTCGTAATAACCGTGGTCGAGGGCTACAGCTGAATTATGCGCACAAACGTCCGTGACTTTGCCGCAGATACGATATTTGCTAGCCAGTTCCCGCTTGGCTGGTAGCAGATCACTGAAGTCGTGGATTGAGATGACATTTTGCGAGCCTTCAGATGACTTCGATGTCATCGCACCAACGGTCGACCTTTGCGAATTATCTGTAGATCGCGGACGATAGAGTCCCAGGCTGCCACCGCTACGCCATGTCTGAGGCGTTGAAAACCGGTGCTGGAGCCCTGACAAGATACCAGAAGACCCGGAAGAGCTTGAAGATTCGGCGTCCGAGTCGTCGGAATATTCAGAAGCGCCATCGTCAGTGCTAGCCATGGTGACAGACGTCCGAGGCCCAGGAGAATTGGTCTGCAGACGACCAAAGCCTTCGAAGACCTTGTCCGCTCTGGATAACCTGGTCATTTCCTTAAACCCTAGGTTTTCAAGCCAATTGGACTTGTCTTTCCTAGATGGGAAGAAGCACACCAAGCGACCATCGTTGGCCCATAGTGCACCGCATCCCTTGGCTACCGGGACCATGACATTGGCATTGACCGGTCGAAGCAGTTCAGAACTCATGCCTAGATCTTGGCTTTGTGACAAGCCGACCTCATCTTCATCGCTGGACTCCTCACCCCCTAGTTGGCCGTTGATGGGAGACTTTACGGTTTCTGCCGTTTCCCCAAGAATCCATGCTATGCTTTCTTCCAAGGTACTCTCACCCAAGAGGTAGCGAACGACCCCCTCGAGACATCCTCGTTTGTGAGCAAGGAAGGTCTCTGCAATCGTGCGAAGTTCAGCTATCAACTTGTCGGCAAGTTGGTCGGTGACAGCGGCAGTCTTCTGCACACTGAATGTTGGCATGGCATCTCGAGGGTAATCAACGGGGAATTTAATATCGACTTTCATGAAGATAGAGTCACCATCAGCACCCCATGGTCCGTGAAGGGATATAGTTGCCTTTCGTTGTCTGACATCGACCGATTCAAAAGCAACCTTGGTGAACTTTTCTCCGACATGGGTAATCTCGTCGCCCAAGGTCTCGATATCCCATCCGGATATTTTCACGCCACGCATCCATGAAATAGGATTAGTATCCGTGCGAACGTTTGTCCGACCCTGCATACCGATCCTAGAATCGGCGTTGGCCCCGCTCTGCGTCCATGCGCGAGCGTATGGGACCGAGATAGTATTCATGCCGGGGTTACGAGACGTCTGAGGTGTGGAGCTTTGTCGAGTGGTGGGCGACAGCGAGTCCATATCTTCTTCCTCTTCATCGATAGGCGTATCCCGATATGACCTATACAGTGCGCCCTTGCGCGTGAGCTGCATATTGGAAACATAAGTCTTCCCTTTCTCAAAGCCAACCCTTTGCATAATATCCGGATCGACCCTGTGTAAGCGTAGTTCACGATCCGTGCCCCAAGACACCAGCTGGAACTCTCTATTATCAATACCATCCTCTATCTCCCCGCGTGCTCTCCACAAAAACTCTTTCACCTGGCCTTTGTGTCCTAGGAAGCTGTGTACCAGAGGAAGCTCATCATTCGAAGTAGAAGCCTCCCCAGCTCTCCGGCTATATAAGTGGAGATCACTATTTCCTCTTTGTGGCATGGCCAAGACACCCCATCCAAAAGGAGTATTCCTTGCTCGCCATACTGGAAACGGCGTCTTGATCACCTTCTCCGGTACCTCTGTGTCCACTGTGTAGTCCCAGAATTTGATCGTCTTGTCGAGAGAGCACGTTACAAGAGCCCCTGGCCGTACCCTGTTCCAGTCCAGCCCATAAATCTTCGTGTTGTGTGCCTCAATAGACTTGATCGGATACGCGCCCATCCGCTTGTCCCATATCCGCAAGAACTTGTCGTGAGAACTGGCAATAACGTTGGGGTCCTGTCGGTTCCATTTAACCTGTGTTGCTCCAGCAAGCCAGTCAGAGAATGAAATAGCGGGACGGGAGGGTGTCCGCAGATCCCAGCAGTGGACGAAGCTATCAACGGCACACGTCGCGAGCATATCTGCATGGTGTGCAGAGAAGTTGATGTCTGTTATGGCTCGAGAGTGGGCGTGCAGAACGTGCTCAATCGAGCTTGGCGAGGATTTCATGCCCAGGTTCCATACCAACGCCTTCTGGTTTGATGTGCTAACGACCCAATAGTCTCGGGCAGCGAACGGGGACCATTGAACGTCTGCAACCTCCCATGGTGTGTGATGCGGAAGATACCTTGGCGGCGAATATGGCGAATCGAGATCGATGATGTGAAGTCCTTCCTTGGAGGCTAGAACCACATCCCGTCCACAGGGCGAGATCGACATAGACCCAACAGGCTGCTCCACATGAAATGAGCTATCCTCCCCGAACGTTGGACTTTCGAAGGCCGATGTGAGGGGCCTGGGCTCGCTTTGGTCCACCATGTTGGCGTCGCCGGCTCCGGGCGTGAAAGGCTCCTTGGTTTCTGTGCTACCTCTTGGCTGCTATCCACGCCTTGGAGAAACGTTCAAACGGACTCAGAATATCAGGAAGCACATTGGTGGAAAGATCGTTTGCGGTCATACACGGCGCTATCATATCGACCGCATTTGTCATGGGCTTTTCATCAATTGCGTAGGAGGAACGGGTCTGTGGAATTGGCTGTGCGCATTGTGGAGGTCGTTACGGGGGGCGGTCGAACTTGGAATTCCAGAGGCGCATGTACCGTATCTTCGATAGACCAATGATGGTGCACTGTTGAAACGGTGGTTAATAGGATGAGCAGGGAGAAAAAATCACTACTTCAATTGGAATCTTGCCTGGGGAATTGTAGATATCCGAACCAAGGGCCTCAGACACCAGCTGTGGACTCCGCAAAGTCCGGGGTTGGCGAGTTGCTTCCCGGCTGCAGTCTCCGATTCTGCACACTTGGTTCCTCCAGCCTCCAGTGCTCATTACGGCAGGCGGTGTATGCAACCTGCGCAGCCCCTCTGTCGGTTACGTCGTTCCATATCGAATCGAACTCCAGCCATAGGAACATCCCAGGTGGCTGTTGCTTCTACTTCCCGCGATCATCGCTAGAGGCTGCTGTCAAGTTCCGCCTGCTCCAAAGCTACGTGGGAGAGGTATCCGCTGCTTTCCGACTGCCAGAAATCTGCAGGAGAGCCGTAAGCCCCACCTTGATCATAACCGTGAAATCGCGGGGTTGAACAGAACATTAAACGTTCCTATTTCACAGACTCGAAATGGCGTTGCCTAAGCGAATCATCAAGGAGACCGAGCGTCTCATGGCAGAACCGTGAGTTATCCGGTTAACGAAAGAATCCTATCACAGTACAGATTGTTGACGCACGCCTGCAGAGTTCCTGGCATCAACGCCGTACCTCACGAAGATAACCTGCGTTACTTCGATGTCTCCATTCACGGACCGGCACAGTCTCCATACGAAGGTAAATAGAGAAGCATACATAGGCTGTTTGTATGGCTGTTGACTTCTTTCAAGGTGGCATTTTCCGCCTCGAGCTGTTCTTGCCAGAGGACTACCCGATGACTCCGCCCAAGATTCGCTTTTTGACCAAGATCTACCATCCCAACATTGACCGCCTGGGGCGGATTTGCTTGGACGTCTTGAAGAGTATGCAATATTACACCTCAACATTGGAAGGAGGATACAAGGATTAAGGCTAACGTGTGGCTAGATAACTGGTCTCCCGCTTTGCAAATTCGCACGATTCTTCTCTCCATCCAGGCTTTGCTGGGAGCCCCCAATCCTGATGACCCGCTTGCCAATGATGTTGCTCAGCGCTGGAAGGAGGACGAGCCAGCAGCGATACAGACTGCCAAGGAGTGGACTAGAACCCATGCGATGACTTAGATAAGAAAGGCGGAAAGGGCTCCACCCGCTAAACCAACTGTAGGAGCAGCAATGTTGTGATGTGACCATGAGCAAAAGTACTGCGACATTCTGCCTTCCTGGCATTTTTAGGATAGGCCTCAATTCTCCGGGACCTTTTCTTTCATACAATGAGAAGGCATCCATAACCATCAACTCTGGTTCGTTTCCCCGCAAGTGCTCATGTATGGTGATAGAGCTGTGGCTCATTCCAGATGTGTGGTATAGGCATTTGCTTTGTTTCATCCGGCTGCGATCTGTTTTCCGATTTCGATCTTAGAGATTCATTCCATAGAATTGCAATATACCTGTAGCAGATCGTCGACTTTGGTTTAGTTCTACTGGCTCAACTGTCCTGGCGGTTTATTATGCACCTGGCTTGTAGTACACAATGATCCATGACTATCAAATTAGATACCGTAGCCTACCCGGTAGCATGATACTGCTGGAAATATCTCTATCTTCCTGACCTTGAAGGCATCTAGATGTGAATAGTATGGTCCTAGAGAAAATCAGCTAGGAGATTCACCATATTCATTACGGTACCAGAGTGAATAACCTCGAAGATTAACTCATACTAACACGTATTGTATAGCTTTGTTTTGCTTCCTTACGCCCCCTTACGCTCCCTCGTGCAGTTATTTTCAGGACCAGGAAGATACCGATATTCTGACTGCCTGCCTTATTCTACCATCAAGCGGTAAAAGATAGTTATCTAACCAAGCACTTCAAGCAAACCACTCACAGTGACCATCAACAACAGCACAATGAACAACGAGGACACTATGGACACCTCTGGAGAAGCAACGTATGTTTTCTCTTCTGATTGTATATCACCAGCAGAATTGGAGGAAAAGAAGCCATGCTAGTTACTTTGATATATCTGACACCCACCATTCTAGAGACCAGCCTCACTCCTTTCAAGCAGAAAGTGAGGACCCGGTTTCTAACCTCACTCAACTGACCGACGACATCACCAGCCAGCTCGCCAGAGCATTTCACATCACAGACCATCACGATGACCCGCTTTTCTTTCCAGCTTTGTTTACAAATCCTGTGAATATGACGGCAACAGAGCAGGATTTAAGGGAAGACCCCAATGCAATGTCCCTAGACTCTTCTCCCCAGACTCTGCACTCAGTGTTTGGAGCTGGTGCGAAGCCCAACACACAACAATCCCCTTCAACCAGTGCTGGTTCTCAAGAGATCAACAATACAACTGCTGCAGCTCGCAACCTCGCAGGCATTCTGAAGAAGAATAAAGGCGCGAAGACAGGGAAGAAGGTCCAGTTCGCAGCCTCTCCAGGAAAGGTAGTAAAGTGCTACAAATCTTCTCCAGGTGAGTATTCTCACTTTGGGTATATTTGGCTACCATAGTGACAGCTGATCCAGAGCTTAAGAAGAGGGACTAAGCAATGGCTTCCTGGCTCCGTCCACTTAAGTCCATCCTTGAGTACGTCTGGCCCCAGGAAAGACAGACTGCCAAGCAAGACAAGAAAGTCATTGTTTTCCGCCGAGCAAACCTCGTGGATAGGGATAGTGACAAGGACATGGACAAGGACGAAGAAGGAGCAGGCATGGACTACCACGATAGCTCTCCAGTTGGGCGCGCGAGCTCGATGGACGACCTGGTAACTTTTTACCGAAAGCCCAGAACTATTAGCCTATGCCTGCTAACAGGATGACAGGTTGATTACATTCGCCAGACCACAGCTTGTCCTAAGCAAACGCGCGACCCCAAAGAAGATTGGAAACGCAAGAGAAGTGGTGACACTAGAATTTGGAATTATAGAAAGCCATGGTGCACCAAATGCTACGGGGAATGCCCTCTTTGCGGTTCCGCCTGTTGCGTGTACGAGGAACTGAGGCGCGCAGTCGCGGATGAGGGATCAGATCCTCTAGTGGCACGAGACCGCAGACGGCTAATGGGCCTCATGGAATCTGTGGGAGCCTACATCAAGGACGCGAGCACGTTCTCCTTGTGTTCAACGCCAGGTTGCGGAAAGCATGTCTGCCCGTCCTGTTGCGGAATATGCCCGGACAAGAGTTGCCGAGACATCCAGTGCAAGGTGAGCAGCGGATATTACTCGTTTCTTTTCAAGTAGTGCATGAGTCCGTATTAACACCGATGCTGTTAGGAGTGCAAGGCAGATCCCTGGGCCGTATGCGACTGGCACGAGTAGTCAGCGGGGCGCCACGATATGAAGCACGACAATATCATGACGAAGTTTACGATAATATGCCGATGAAAATTCATCGTACAGCAGTCAGAGATAAAGTTCCAAAGGAAGCTCCAGATCTATTAGCCGTTGAAGGGTGGTATGGAGGAGTCTTCGGCAGAAGATGGCAGTTCTGATGATATTAGGTCATTATCCGGAGGGAGAGAATAGCGAGCATTGAGGCCAATGTATGTATTATGAAAGTCATCAATGCAGATATGCGACCATGATTCCAGTTAACTTTTCAAATTTAAATATTAAACCGTCTAAGTCCTAAGTAATACAACCTTAAAATCCAACTCATCAAGCACATACATCCCGATCCCCAAGATCTGGAGAAGTCGAGGCGGCAGCCAACCAGCCAAGGGCAGGGGCGGTCACGTGGCACCGCTTAGCGAGGCTCCGCACCGCACCACAATTGTGTCAGTCTCACGAACAGCTCGCCGCAGAGACCGCTTCGACTCAACCACCCAACGCCAACCGACAACATCTCGTCTCGACCGGCTGCGCATCTCAGACGTTCAAGATGCGTACCTACGACGATTCTTTCAGCGGTCAGAAGATCTACCCTGGAAAGGTGCGTTTTTATGTCCCTTTCCCGCCAGCAACTTTCACAAACGACCGGCCTCGAAATTCGCCACGAAAACCTACGTCTACACCAGACCCTTCACCAATGCATACAAAAAAATAAGGATATATCAAGTTGACGGTTGATTTTTGAAAAATTATAGGGTAAGCTGTACGTCCGTGGCGACAGCAAGATCTTCCGCTTCCAGAATGGAAAGTCCGAGTCCCTCTTCCTCCAGCGCAAGAACCCCCGCCGCATCGCCTGGACTGTCCTCTACCGTCGCCAGCACAAGAAGGGCATCTCTGAAGTCAGTACCCGCCATTTATCCCTTTGGATTCGTTGAGTTTATTGTTTCGTTCTTTTGTTGCTTGGGTTGGAAAGAGGAGGGCCTACTGGAGTGATGCATATGTAATCGAATTACGACGCGAACATACATCAATATGTGATTGGATATGACGGTTGAATCTCGCTTCGATGATATACTGGATGGGATCAACTACAACCCAATGGTGGCAGTGGAGACTATCGCAACAACATTGAATGGAGAAAGGGGGGATGAGGATATAAGGTTCCATAAAAAGGAGACCACATGCTGACTGGGACCCTTTTTCCAAACCTACAGGAAGTTGCCAAGAAGCGCACTCGCCGTGCCGTCAAGAGCCAGCGTGCCATCGTTGGTGCCTCCCTCGACGTGATCAAGGAGCGCCGCGCTCAGCGCCCCGAGGCCCGTGCCGCCGCTCGCCAGCAGGCCATCAAGGACGCCAAGGAGAAGAAGGCCGCCAACGAGAGCCGCAAGCGTGCTGAGAAGGCCAAGGCCGCTGCCTCCGGCGCCAAGCCCGCTCAGCGCATCCAGAGCAAGCAGGGTGCTAAGGGCTCTGCCCCCAAGGTCGCTGCCAAGTCGCGTTAAAACGGATTAGAGGCGGTACTGGCTGTTGGGACTGGGATGAAAGTAAAAGGATAAGAAATGACAACACTTATGGGGGTGGGAATATGTTATGGACATAGGGAATTTGGGAGGTTATTCTAATTCAAAAAAAATAGAAACCCCCCACGAGGAAGCATTTTTTCTTTTTGCCTCATCAAAGATTTCTATTCTCCAAAAACATCAGCAAACGAATTTCCTTGTTTTGTTGTCCCTTGCGGCGTATGAGCGTTGGGTAAGGGGGATCAGATACTACTTACTGTCCTTTTTGCTCCTTCCTCCTCGGATTTGAACCAGTTTCTTATTCGTTTATTACGCCGTTTTCTTCTCTCTCCCCCAAGTGGTATGTCTTCAAACTTATTACTTTACCCAGGAAAGGAATATGGAAATGGATGTGATATGATTACTTGCATTTTTTTCCTATCTGCTTTGCGTACTAGTAGGAGCATACCCTGTAGTAAAAGTAAAAAGGCCCATGCGCAATATACATGATCTCATCGCTCTGGCCCTGGCCCTGGCCCTGGCCCAATCCTTCAGATCGGATACCCCGGGGCCTTATCACGTGACTCACCATACCTTGTAAATCCATAGGGCTCAGACCTATACTAACCGTTTCCGGTACCATTCTTCAAGACCTCATGATGTTCATGCCTCAGGCATAAATGCAGCAAGGGATAAAGTTGTATGCATGGCATGGCATATATTATTCTTATGTGAGAATGGTACCATAACAATTATCAGTTGCATACGAGTTTGTTTACTTATTTTGAGTACCTCACTACCAATGTCCCTAGTGTATTCATACTGTCATGTTCACTGAGCTTTCAATATGTAACTATTTTTCACCAGCATAAGGTCTAAGGGTTCATACTACTTCTATACTAGTAATGGTACTAGATATCTTTAACGATGATGGTTGAATGAATGCCAGACAATAACTGACTGAATACCTGCAGTCATCCTGCAAATATATAATGCATAATGCTGTATAAATCAACAATCATGAAACCATTGAACAATAAGTCCCGACCCAACCCGTATCTAGACATCTATCTATATGTAGTATACAACAACGACAACAACGACAACAACGCCCGAACATGATGACAATCAATAACCCCGAAACAACAGCCCGGAGATATCTTCAATTATGCATTACCAGCACCTAATAATAATGAGCCATCTCCAACCCAGCACGCTTAAACCCACACTTGAGATAGAATCCCTCATTCGCCTCGGAGCAATCGAGAATACTCTGCACACACACAAACACACCATTAGCACCATCACCACGCCTCAGAATAGACTCCAAAAGAGAAGAGAACATGCCTTATAGCACCCCACCTGCGCAGCAACATAATCCAACGCCTGAATAATCCTCAACCCCAGCTTCTTACCCTGCTGGCTCTTATCGACGGCAATATCCTCAATATGGCCAACAAGACCCAACTCATGAATGAACTTGCGCTCAACAATCAAGCTGCCCGTACCCACAATCCGGTCCTCCCCATCACAGATAACAAGCAGGTAGTATTCGTCATTGCGCGACGAGATCCAGTCGTAGCGCTTGTTCCACTGCTCCTCGGTGATGGTGCCGACGGTTGTCAGCACGCGCAGCACATCCAAGTAGCCGCGGCTGTAGTCGGAGCGACGGACGGGGCGGATCTTGTAGCCTTCGGGCAGTTCGGCGGCCACGGAGGGGGAGATGAGGGTCGTGGGGAAGAGGGGGGCGTCGTCCTTGGAGGATTCGGCGGGGGGTTGGGTGAGGGTGGAGGTGTTGGTCATTTTGGCGGTGGTTGGGTTATTCGTCCGTCTTGGACCTTTTTTTTATTAGAGAACAAGAAGAAGAGATTTTGATGGTGAAGAGGTTTGTTTGTTTGGTGGTTTGGTTAAGGGAGGGCCCCTGGTTAGTGGCGGGGTTCAATTGAGTGTGAGTGGTGAAAACGGAGGTGGACGCTGGAATGAAGGATTTCTTCAGCGAGTGTGAGTGTGTATGTGTCTGAACGAGAGACAGAGAGTTTTTTTTTCAACGAAGGTGAGTATTTGAAAGAGGAAAGGGAGAGAGAGAAGAAAAAAAAGGACAGGTCAGTCGAGTCAGTCGAGTCAGTCGGTCAGTTCGGTCATGGAAAAGAAAGGGCCAGGCGGAGGTAATAAACAAGCAGTAAGAAAGGGCCCACGGTTTGCCTGAAACACCAAACACTTTGGAAATCCGCCCCTGACTACTTACTACTTACGGTTCTTTCCGATTGTATTGGCCAAGCTGATCTACCTTCAAAACCCTGATGGCGCAGCAACTTTACTACATTGTTAGTGTTCCTAATTTAAACACCACTTGACCGGTTTTCAGCAATCCACCGCCAGTCGTTGCTATCCGTGCATCTTGAACTATTCGATCGGTGGGCGGGACCGCTTTGGTGGTCCAAAAATAGCACACCCCGGGGTCAGCCCCGTCATCAGCCCGATAAAAATCTATACTCCGTACAGCGAAGAGATCTATCCAAGCAATAAGTTGAACATGAGAATAGTACAGTAGTATTCCTGAGTATACAAATATCTCCTAGGCAAAAGCTAGTCTTCGCTAGATGACTCCTCCAAGCTAAGCCAAAACATCTCTCCTCCTGCTATACATCTATTTCTTCTCCTTGGGGCTCAGCATCAGCTCGGGGCGGACGTGCTTGTCAAAGTCCTCCTCGCTCAGAGCCTTCAGCTCCATAGCACTCTGCTTCAGAGTGAGGCCCTTCTTGTGGGCGTTCTTGGCGACCTTGGAGGCCATGTCGTAGCCAATGACGGGGTTGAGGCAGGTGACCAGCATCAGACTACACCACTGTTAGCTGTCTTCTTTACACGTATCTAATTTTGGAAGGAAATACATACCTCTCGTGGAGGAGAGAGTTGATGCGGGGCTCGTTGGCCTCCAGACCGTGCACCAGGTTCTTCTCGAAGCTGGTCATACCATCGGCCAGGATGCGCACGCTGTGCAGCAGGTTGCGGATCATGAGGGGCTTGAACACGTTGAGCTCGAACTGACCGTTCATGCCACCGACGGTGGCAGCGACGTGGTTACCCATGACCTGGGAGCAGACCATGGTAAGGGACTCGCACTGAGTGGGGTTGACCTTGCCGGGCATGATGGAAGAACCGGGCTCGTTCTCGGGGAGGACGAGTTCACCGAGACCGCAGCGGGGACCGGATCCAAGGTAACGGATATCCTGGGCAATCTTGAACAGAGAGCAGGCCAGGGTGTTCAGGGCACCGGAAGCCTCGACAATCGAGTCGTGGGCGGCCAGAACCTCGAACTTGTTGGGGGCAGTCTTGAACTCGGTGCCGGTCAACTTGGTGACCTCAGCAGCAATAGCCTCGTCGAAGCCCTTGAAGGTGTTCAGACCGGTACCGACGGCGGTACCACCCTGAGCCAAGTAGCGGAGGTGGGGGATGCTGGTCTCGACACGCTCAATGTTGCGGTCGAGCTGAGCGACGTAGCCGGAGAACTCCTGGCCGAGGGTGAGAGGGGTGGCGTCCTGCAGGTGAGTACGACCGATCTTGATGATCTTGTCGAACTTCTCAACCTTGACCTGGAGAGCATTGCGCAGGCTCCTCAGGGAAGGCAGGAGGGTGTTCTCCAGCTCCAGAACGGCAGCAATGTGCATGGCGGTCGGGAAGGAGTCGTTGGAGGAGGCGGACATGTTGACGTGGTCGTTGGGGTGGACGGGCTTCTTGGAGCCCTTCTCGCCGCCCAGGATCTCGATGGCGCGGTTGGAGATGACCTCGTTGGAGTTCATGTTGGACTGGGTACCGGAACCTGTCTGCCAGACGACGAGAGGGAAGTGGTCCATCAGCTTGCCCTCCGCAACCTCAGCGGCAGCCTGCTTGATGGCCTCACCGACCTTGGGGTCTATTTTCCAAATGTTAACTTCGCGGAAGCTGTGCTGCCTTGATCAATAGCGGCTTACCGAGGCCGAACTTCATGTTCACTTCAGCAGCAGCACCCTTGAGGATACCGAAAGCCTTGACAACGGGCTCGGGCATGCGGTCCTGGGGCTGGTTGATGTCGAAGTTGCCCAGGGAGCTATTGTCGCACCGGTCAGCGTCTGCTCACTCCTCTGCCGGTCGCATATCCAGTTTGCAATGTGGCAGCGATTGTTGAGGTCGGGATCTTACCGCTGGGTCTGAGCACCCCAGTACTTGTCCGCGGGGACCTAGAGTAGAGATCCGTTAGTATTTCCAGTCTATGCGCATCGCGTTTATGAGTGTAGCACATACCTCGATCTCACCGAAGGCATCAGTCTCAATGCGGGAAGCCGAAGACTAAAACAATAACCGATTAGCAACGTCTCCCACTGGGAACAGTTCCCCATAGCGAAGTCATCCGCACGATAGATGCGAATCAATAGAAAGGGTAGAGCATACCATCTTGACGGTGGTACCGAAAGCTCTCTTGCTGGAGGTAGAAGTCAAGGACTGGAGACGGGGGAATTGTTGCACAGGTCGGCTATTGGAGCTCAGAAGACGACGGCAACTGAACGAGGCGGGGGTGAAAGCCACGGCAGTGCGGGCAACTGCGGGGGAAGCCGAAGCTCGAGATGCAGCATGTGTCAAGGAGGCCATCGAGCGCACCGCGGCTCGGGAAGTGTGGGCAGATGTCAACATGACGACCGGCTTTTGGTTCTATTCATCATCACGCGGTTAGTCAGTGTGGCTGACAGTCCAATGGTGCCATTTTGGGGGGACCACAGTTCAAATCCTGTTGTGGATATGTGCGGGGTGTTGGTCGTACATTTTCTCTCTAAAATAAACAGAATAAACGGACAGATCTAATGATATTCCAATTCTACCCAAAACCTGGGGGACGGCAAACAAACCACGCAGAAAAGAAGGGAAGAAGAAGAGCAGCAGCAGCCGCGCATATTTAATCCACCCCAACTGTTTCCGATACCGCCTGCCGAAATCTCCCGGCCCGGTAATGTTCAGGACGCCGGTTACCCGTCTGCCACACCTTCGCTGTCCGGCCTGAATTGTATCATACGGTAAGGATTCTCGTCGGATAAACCATGATCCTGCTGTCTCTCCGCATCTCCATCTTCTTGTCTATCTGTACTAAGTAGTACTGCACTCCATCTCCGATATCCCTTCAACCGAACTAATTGATCATTTACGCTGTCAGTTCCCGTTTCATCGCTTCAATAACCTTCTCAATGTATATACGGCCGCTCTCCATGATGCCATCCAACATGGCAAATGTGTGGGGAGCTCCTGCCATACGCATCATCTCCACTCGACAACCGGCAGCTTTCAATTTGGCAGCGTAACCCTCCCCTTCGTCCCGCAGAGGGTCCATTTCGGCGGTGAAGACCAACGCAGGTGCTAGTCCAGAAAAGTCAGGCGCAAACATGGGGGAGATCTTCCAGTCCTAT